TGCCTGCTTCCCACTAACGTAAAGCAACATAGCCTAAAGAAGATGATCATTTACTTTTAGTTCTTTTTCTCTCCCATGATCTACTGGTTCATCTTCTCCTACAGTGAGGCCTCCCCCAAGCCATGTACATGGTCGGAAGATTCCATATTTGCGTATTAGAGTTTACTAGAGAAGCAGAGCCAATAGAATGGGGCTTTAGAGGGAGAGATTGTGGAAGTTGGTATGTCTGAAATTTGTGGAGGTTGCCAGCAGGCTGGAAATGCTGGCAAGAGTTTAAGTTGTGGTTTTGAGTTTAAAAGTCAGTCTCAAGATAAGATTTCTCTGCCTTGGACACCCTCAGTATTTTAAGGCCTTACACATTATGTAGCCCGCTCACATTGTAGAGCGTGCTCTCCCTTACTCAAAGTCTACTGTTTTAAATGTTAATACCCTCAGTAACATCCAGACTAGTGTGTGACCAGACAACTGGCACTGTAGTCCAGTTACCACATCAATAACTTGTTCTCTTCAAATGGATCTATAGATTCATTGTAATCCTAATTAAAATCCAAGAAGACTTAATTTAATTACTTTTTCTTTTTTGAGACAGAATCTCACTATGTAGCCCAGGCTGGCCTCAAACTCACATCACCTGCCTCAGCCTCCAGAGTGCTGGGAGTCCTCGAATGTGTCACAATGCCTGGCAAAAAGACTTGTTTTAAAAAAATTGGGGCCGGGGATTTAGCTCACTGGTTTCGCCACCTGCTGCACAAGCACAAGGACCGGAGCTCAACCCTCAGTACCAAAAAAAACACCAAAAAACAAAATTAGAACTTTGATTCACTGGGCCAGGGATTTAGCTCAGTGGTTCCAGTGCCCGCCTTGCAAGCACAAGGTCCTGAGTTCGATCCCGGGTACCAAAAAAAAAAAAAAAAATTGATAGGCTAATTTAAATAATTGGCAGGCTGTGCCAGAGGTAGTGGCACCTCCCTGTGGTCCCAGAACTTGGAAGGCTGAGGCAAGAGGATAACTGTGAGTTTGAGGCCAGCCTGAGCTGCATAATGAGATCCTGTCTCAAAAAAAATAATTAAAAAAAACACAGTATGATTCCATCCAAATCTAGGCAGTGCAAACTAATGTGTAGTGATAGCAAGTAGATCCTTGGTTGTCTAGGAAGAGATTAGAGGGTAGGACTGTGAAGGGTGATGAAAAACATTTGGGGGTGAGGGGTCTGTTCATTATTATTATTATTTTTTTGATACCTCGATCGAACTTGGGCCCTTGCGCTTGCGCAGCAGGCGGCGAAACCACTGAGCTAAATCTTCCGCCCAAAATATTGCAAATTCCTTTTCTTTTCTTTCTTTCTTCTTCTTCTTTTTTTTTTTTTTGTACCAGGGATCGAACTTGGGACCTTCCACTTTTGAGGCAGGCGGCAGAACCACTGAGCTAAATCCCTGGCCCTCTGTTCATTATTTTGATTGTGCTGATGGCTGCACAATTGAAAAATATGTCAAAATTTGCCAATTTCTACTTTTTAAATATTTGTTTTGTGTTGTTTGTTAAATATACCTCAGAAAAGCAGGTGTTAAAAATGTCATTGGAGGCCGTGACATCATCATCACGCGACCGTTTAGGAGCCAGGAATCGAAGGTCTAGAGTTGGTCATAATGGCAGGTGAAGAAATTAATGTAGACTATCCAGTAGGAATTCATGAGTATTTGTCAAGATTTGAGAATTCCGTAGGTGCTGTGGATGAGATGCTGAAGAACATGATATCTGTTTCAAGAAATGAGTTGTTGCAGAAGTTGGATCCACTTGAACAAGCTAAAGTGGATTTAGTTTCTGCATACACATTAAATTCAATGTTTTGGATTTATTTGGCAACTCAAGGAGTCACTCCTAAGGAACATCCAGTAAAGCAGGAATTGAATCAGTGTATACATGAGCAGAGTCAAGGAAATAACAGACAAGAAAAAGGCTGGCAAGCTGGACAAAGATGCAGCTTCAAGATTTGTGAAAAATGCTCTCTGGCAACCAAAACCTAAACATGCAGCGAAAGTTGCCAATAAAGGAAAAAAGTAAAAATTAACTTTTAGTTTTGATGTACACATACTCAAAAAGTACATTATTTTTTTCACAACATAGATGATTATGTGACAATGAGAGGGTTAAATTTACTTTTTGAAATTTGTATTTAAATTTACACTTTAAATTTGTAGTGCTAAGTATTTCCCCCACCAGAAAGATTGACTTGCCTTTATTGATTTTCCTATAGAGCACCATGAAGTTTTTAACATTATGATTTATATTTATAGTTTACCATCTCTTTTGGCAAGATACTCACTTCTCTATATAGGTCAGTCTTGCAAGTACCATTTTATAAGCAACTATGAAATTTAAGTTAAATGTTCTTTGTAAACATTTTTACTATTTTAAATGAATAATAATCTTATGAAATATGCTATCTACAGACTGAAATTTTAAGTACATATGTTTTTACTGTACGGTATTAAGAGTGAAATGGCTTAAATATTTTTTTCTGTGTAGTTAATTCATATTTTCATTGTTGTAGGAATTACTGTTTTTTTGGTATTCAAAGTGTGAATTTAAAACTTTAGGATTGTACTTTAATTCTTGGTATATTGCCTCAGTGTCATATTTACAATAAAATATATTCTTATTAACTTTAGGTGGGAAATAAGGTTGTATGGTGATGGCTGGCTGTTGGTCTGATGACTGTACCTTTTTTTTTTTTTTTGGTACTGGGGAGCAAACTCGGGTCCTTGTGCTTGTGCAGCAGGCAGCGAAACCACTGAGCTAAATCCCTGGCCCTGTACCTTCTTAATAAAGGCTCTAAATGTTATGTAGCTGACCTGTGTAATTTTCTCTTCTGAGTCGATATGCCCTCAAAATAAGGCAAATAGGTTTCAGAAGTCAGATTTAATGGAGAAATATATGTTTTTGTTTCTCAGTGTTCTTGGTCTCACTTTTTCAGATTTTTTTGATTGCATGTTCCTGAGGTTATGTTAAGTAACATACTAGTTTCTTGGAACAAGTCTCTTTGTTACATAATGCCACTTAAGCAGAGGAAAAGTCCAAAGGAGATTATATTGTGTTTATGTTTTGGTTTGTTTTTTCCGGAATATTGTTACAGAGAATTCTTCATAGTAAAACTTATTTATGCCTAACTCCATGAATTTTAATAATATGCTCTTAATGCTTTCAGTCTTTGAATGCACATCATTAAGAGTAGCTATGCCAAGTATAGTAAAGTACTTTAATTTTTGAAAAAGGAGTTGTTAAAATTTTCTATGTGATTAATTCTCCATAAGTAACCTTGAATAAATGGATTTCTTGATTTATAGTAGCAGAAAAAAAAATGTCATTGGATATGGTGACACATGCCTCTACTTTCAGCACTGTGGGAGGCTGAAGCAGGAAGATTGCGAGTTCGAGCTTAGCCTGGGTGACTTAGGACTTGTTTAAAAAAAAAAAAATTAGAATAGGGCTGGGGATTTAGGTCAGTGGTTCCACCACCTGCCTTTCAAGCTCAAGGTCCAGAGTTCAATCCCCAGTACCCCCAAAAAATTAGAATAAAAAGGCAGCTCACTCCAAAGGCTCTGGGTTCAATTTCTAGTACCTTAAAAAAAAGTACATCGGGGGCCGGGGATTTAGCTCAGTGGTTTCGCCGCCTGCTGTGCTGCAAGCTCAAGGACCCGAGTTCGATCCCCGGTACCAAAAAAAAAAAAAGTACATCGGGCTGGGGATTTGGCTCAGTGGTGCCGCTGCCTGGCTCACAAGCACAAGGTCCCGAGTTCAATCCTGGGTACCAAAAAAAAAAAAAGTACATAGGGCTGGGGATTTAGCTCAGTGCCACTAAACCTGTCTTGCAAGAGCAAGGTCCTGGGTTCGACCCAGTACCAAAAAAAAAAAAGTACATAGCACATGATAAATACTTAATTACTTTTAATTAATTAATTAATTTATTTTTGGTACTGGGGATTGAACTCAGGTCCTTGTGCTTGCGAGGCAGGCGACGGAACCACTGAGCTAAATCCCTGGCAATTAATTTATTTTTGAGGCAACATCACGCTATGTAGTTCAGGCTGGCTCTGAACTCACTATGTAGCCCTGGTTGGCCTTGAACTTGTAGCAATTCTCCTGCCTCAGCCTCCTGAGTGCTGAGATTACAGGCATGTGCCACCAGGCCTGGCACTAGTTTATTTTTTAGTTCCTTTCCTTCATGGCTGACTGCCTTTTTCCTACACAGTTTCACAACATCCCTCTCCCCTGCCAGGCCAGCTAGTGTCTGCTGACCCTCAGCTTCATACTGCCGGCTTTTGGGGCCACCACGTGTCCCTAGGAAGACTGCATCAAATAGTGCTTTACAGAGGCTACTGAACATTCTGGAGCCGCTGCCCACTGGAACTGGATCTCAATCGTGGACCTCCGACTTACACCACAGCCTCAGCCACATCTCTGGGTCCCCTTCTTCTCTCTGCTCAGCATTCTCTTCTCAACAGAGGCCTGGGAAGCTTAAGCTCCCAGTTATTGACCTCAAAGGTCAGATGTCGCTTGTTTTCCTTAATTGACTATTCATTAGAATATGTGTCAGTAGCTATCGTATAGCATCAGTCTTCTTGTAGCTTCTTCCTTCACTTGAAGGCATGTTTAGGACCTTTACCTACCCCAGACTTCAGGGCAAGTTAGCTCAAGTTCTGGGAACACTTGAGTTCCTAATTCCTGGACCCCAGCCCAAGGGATGCTCTACTTTATCTCCTTTACCCCTACCTTGTAACCTGCATCATGTGATCCTGGGGCTGTTGGGGACGAGGAGAGAATCCAGTCCTAGGCCCTGCCTTCCAGGGGCCTGGCAGCTTAGTGACAGCAGTATGCTGTTGGGGTCTGGGCTTCTTCCCCATCACGTCTGTTCAGTTGCCCTAGTGACTGTGTGACAACTCCACCCCCTCCCCCCCTGCTTCCATCTGCACTCGCCATATAAATAGAGGCTAGGAGCAGCTGGGTTCTCTTGGCAGTCACCATGAGGGCGCTGCTCCTGCTCTGCTGCTTCCTGGCCTCGCTCCTGCTCTCGGGACAAGCAGGTATGCCCTCTGCATGGGTAGCCCTTGCTGTGTCCTCTGTAATGTCCCAAGGTTTTCTGCTCACTGGAGTAGGGGAGGAGGGCTGACGTAGAGCTTTGCTCCTTGCTGCTGTCACTGTTACCACCCTTCTCCTTGGGGTCTGGGATGTGGAGAGAGAGAGTGAGGTGCTTGAGACCAGGGAGGGAGCTAGGGACCAGGGAGGGAGCTTTTGGGAAGACCAGAGGAAGTGAAGAGAGGCAGATGGGCCTAAGGCTTGGGCCAAGGTCAGAGAGAAAAATGTCTGGCCACCAGAAACTGGGAAGAGGTTCTCAAAAACCAAGCCTAGAGGAGCCTCCAAGACAGCTAAATAATAGTCTTGGAGCTGGAGGTCTTTTTTTTTTTTTGTACCGGGGATCGAACTTGGGTCCTTGTCGTTGCAAGGCAGGCAGCAGAACCACTGAGCTAAATCCCCTGCCAAGTCGTTTGGATGACCCTCCTACCAGGTGGAAAATATGGCAGAGGCTTTGGCTATTGCTGGAGACCTGGGTTTCCATGACTGAGAACAGAGGGGACTGTGGACAAAGTTGGGGATTGTTTTGTGAACAGTGGGATAGAGTTTGGAGTAGGGTTGGACATGGAGTTGAGTTTGGGGTTTGGGCTGGAAACAGAATTGGACAGAGTCCAGAGAGGAATGGGATCCATTTTGGAGGAGAACCTCTATGAAGGGTGGGGGCTTTCATCAGGAAGGGGCTCGGCTCTGGATTCCTGGGCTTTCCTTTGACATCTCAGCACTTTGTATGGCAGAGGTGGTGGCTTGGGTTGCAGCATGAAGGTTATTTATAGGCTGTGAGGGGACACCCGATCATTTTGCCATCTCTCTCGTGCCTAAGACTCCTGGGGCTGAATTCCCCTTGGGATTGCGTTGAGGAGTTGGTCTGGGATCCTGCTAGGAATTTAGGGCTCCCACTTACCTCCTGGCCAAGGCTTTAGTCTTGGGACTGTACATGGGACTGTGGAGGCCTAGAGTTCTAGTCTATTAGGTCTTTGAGGTCCTGTCACCTGACAATAGGGGGCTGCAGAGGCACAGTCCCAGTGAGGAGAGCAGGCATTAGCAGAAGGAAAGCTATTCTTCTGGAAATCAGAGAGGTAAAGTGGAGGGCTCCAGCTGTTGCATGTGCTGCTGGGCCCTGCCCTTGTCTGCCCTTGAGTTAATTTGGGCTCTGCAGGCCTCAGTGACTGGAGATGTGAGTATTCCAAGCGGCTGTCAGGTGGCTAAGTATGGAAACAGCCATGTAATTGGATCCTGACCCCCAAGCCACTGCTACCCTCTTTCCTTTGTAGCCCCTCCTCTTTTCAGCCCAACCCTAGCTGCCACCTTGAGTCTTCCACATAGCAAGTCCTGAGGAATTTTTAGCCTTTTAGGGACAAACTTTATTTTTCTTCCTGCTGAGGAAATTGGACATCTGAACGTTCCACAGGCCATGCTGGGCACCCTTGCTATAAGAAAGGAGGCAAATATGTTGTGCAGAGGTCCTTTCTGCACTGTCTCCTTCCTGGGCCCAGTGGTTTTATCTTCCCCTGGCCTATTCCCCGTTGTGCAAGCTTCCTTTTCTCCCTTGTTCCTGTTTACCTTATGACTACTCTGCCCCAGTTGTAGATTGTGTGCCTAAAAGATGGCTTCTTCCTGTGTTCACTGGGAGGTTGCAAGCCAACAGGTGACTTCCCTGAGGCCCATTGGATGACAGTCCTTCCTAGTGGCTGGTCTTCCACTAGAAGTGTGTTACTGTGGCCAAAGGTCATGTCTTTGCTCCTGAACTCTTTCCCCACTCCACTGCCATGTTGTTTCTCTCCCATTTCCCTCATACCTTGCCTGGTTGACAAATATTCTTGCAAGGCTCTCTGTGGCCACTTCTGGGGGTGGGGACCCTGAAGTTCTACCCTTTCTTCTTTTTCTCCCACGTTGCTCCCATGTCCCCTTGAGCTGGGGTGGTGGGCTCTACACCCCAGTCACCTCATCTCCCTACAAGGAGATCAAGCACCCTGCTCTTTCTTGCCACCAGTCACCAGTGTCCATGCCAGGACTCAGATTGAGCAGCTGGGTTCCTCATTACCAGATACCTCCCTAGGCTCCCCTGACTTGTTGCCTCAAGACCTCTGTAACTACCTCATGTTCTCTGGTCCTTCCTGTGGCATAGCAGTAGTTCTGCTTAAGGATGGGGGAAAGAATCTTGAGATGTTTTGATCAGTCTCCTTCTTGCCCAGGGAAGGGAAGGGGAGGAAACCCAGAAATGAAAGGCTCCATTGAGACAGTGACAGGGACATGCCCAGCAGTGCTGTTCTTACCCCACTCAGAATTTCCTTCCCTTCTTTGCCAGCCTCTCTCTGACTGACCCCAAGGGTGGGTGTGAAAGGGGGGAAGGGATAAGAGCACCCAAAGAAAGTTTCCCAGGAGTGATGCTTTTGGTCCTTGAATTTCTGGAGGATGGGCTGGGTAGGTGGTACAGAGAAGGCATTTGTTTGGGTTTAAGCCATTTATTGCTGAAGGTTGATTTGGGACACCTTTGCCTCCTGTTGTGCCTTTTGTTGCTTGATGCAGAGATTGGAGACTTGGGGATTCTGTGTCCATTCATCCTCCATCATGTGGCCCCACTCTACCATTCCATTGGCAAAGGGTTGGTGTATGTTAGAGGTCCTCATTTGTAGGCCCAGAGCTAATGTGTCCCTTTTTGAGAGATAAGGATGCAGGGGGTCTGTCAGAAGGTCCTTCCCCTCCCACATCCCTAGGCTGATATTACCAGAAGGATGTTGCATTTCTCTTTCCTTAACCAGGCAGCCCAGCTGCTACCATCCACTTGTGAGAGAAGGGAGCAATTCAGGGGTCTTGAGGAGAGAGCAGACCCCCAAAGCCTTTTGAGTTCTCTGAAGCCATGTCCCTCATTCCTAGCTTGTCATAGCTGGATGAGGTTGTAGGGAGCATCCTGTCCCCTATTTTCCACATCAAGTCTGTGGAATGGTAGTCCAGGATATGCTTATGGATAACCCCTGTTCCCCCTTGCCCCAGCCACACTTTTCCTGGTGGCCTTTGGAATTGCAGTTTGGGAAATGCTGGTTTTGTCCCACTTCCAAGTGTTATAGTGAAGGTTAAATAGTTCGCCTATGGCAGGCCAGAGCTGGGATTCAGGTCTTTTCACTCCTCAGCCAGTGCTTTTGTCCACTAATCTCCTGAGGGACATCCAGATGAGGCCAGTTGCATCCAGCTGGCCAGTTGGTTCTTACTCAGCTACATGGGCTAGGAAGGAGCCCAACCCTATGGACATAGAGGAAGATGGCTGTCTCTGTCTCTGAGGGACAAGGATGGGGCTAGGTGCTGTGTATCCTGGCTGGAATGTGGGTAACAGCTGGGGCATGGGATGGAGTTTGCTTGCTGGGATGCTAGGATGGAGCACCTTGGCTTACTTCTGACTCCTGGGCATGTCCCTATTCCAAACCCCATTCCAGGCTTTCTGTGGAACAGCTTTTACATGTAAATGTTGCTCAAGTATGCAAAGCCCATTGTGCAAATACTTTGCCACATCTCATCATTTTATGAATTCATCCTATATTTATTATATCTGTACTATTCTTTAGATATGGTAATAGGGGAATTCAGATAGGCATTTTGTTCTTGGTGTGCTTACATTCCAGTAGGGAGGATAAGGCCTCTTCCTTCCGGCAGTTGTAGCTGTGCATGTAAGACCCGAATCAGTGACATAGGCAGGTACGGGAAAAGAGGTGGGCTGAAGGAAGGGGGCAAGTTATCTTGAGCTGAGTGGAGCAGGAAGTATTTAAGGTGAGACATTGAATTGGGCCTTAAAGAAAGTAGGATTCGGACATGGAAAGATGGCAGGAATGGCATTCCATGTAAAAGGAACAGGGTGTGCTAACTTATGGGATCAGACGAACAGGGCTCAGGGGAGAACCAGGTAAAGGTACTGTTCTCCCTAGGAGAGGGTGGGCAGGTAGAAATCGAGACTGTGGGAAATTGATTTGGAAAGCAGAGTTGGAGCCGAAGTATAAAGGGCCTTGAGTGGTAGGCTGTGGAGGAATCTATATTCTGTGGACAGTGGGTAACCATGGAAGGCTTCAAGAAAACGCACCTGAATAGTTATTGGTAGGAAGGAGCAGAAAAAGGGAAACTGACTGGTCAGCTATGCCAGGAAAGCAAGTGGGCTTCGATAAGGGATGGGAATGGGGATACAGGCTAACTCAGCAGAGCTGGTGGTGAGTCACCTTCTCAACCTGGGGAGTCAGGGTGAGAGGGGATCCCTGGTGGGCTTTGGTTAGGTCACTGGAGGAACAGTCTTGCCAGAAAAAAAGACACAGGGAATGTAAGAGAAAAGGACAGATTGTAAAAGTTCAGTTTGGGTCATTATGAATGATGGGTGCCCATAGGATGTCTGAATAGGGATTTTTTTTGTTTTGGGGTACCGGGGATCGAACTTGGGACCTTGCTCTTGTGAGGCAGGCGCCAGAATCACTGAGCTAAATCCCTGGCCCATGAATAGGGATGTTTTATAGTGATTAGAAAAACAGGGTTGAGCTGGGTGTGGTGGTGCACACTTGTATACCCAGTACTCTGAGAGGCTGAGGCAGAAGGATCCCAAGTTCCAGCCCAGCCCGAGTAATTTAGGAAATTAGTGAGACCATGTCTCAAAATAGAAATAAAAAGGGGCTGAGGATGTAGCTCAGTGAGAAGGCTCTAGGTTCAATCCCCAGTACTGTTTTTTTTTGTTGTTTTTTTTTAAGTAGGATTGGATGGGTCCTATGGGGAGAGTCAGGCCTGTGAATCTTGAAATAAGATTCTTTTGCCCAATGATGAGAGTGAGGGTGAGGTTGAAGGGGCCATTGTAGGGAGGGAGGATGAGATATGAGGACTGGTCCTTGAAGAGCACTCGGCTCAAGGAGTAGGAAGAGGAAGATAAGACATGAACTTCAGAAAGATGGGAAGGGATCCAAGAGAAGACACAGGCCTGGCTGCCAAG